GGTTTCTTGCTGAAGCAAAGGAGCATTACACACATTTTATGATCAGCACCAGCTTATGGACTCTGAGGAAATACGGTTGCCCAGGACTCTAGATCGTGATTGAAGCCGATTACTATTGTTACGTATACAAGTGAACAACCTTCCTCAGGGAAAAATCCTTCGATAAGAGTCGAAGAGGTGCTCACTCTCACACAAAGAGTGTATAATATTCTCATCCTCTTCTATATAAGGGGGACACAGAGAAGGAATCTTCCAACGATCAAGACATCTATTTAGGGCAGCATTGAAGTCACCTGCCATTACTAAGGGGATCCCATTTGGAATCAGTGTTCTAATATCCTGGAAGAACTTGACCCTTTTCTGTATTTCATTAGGATCGTATACATTAATTACACATATGACCTATGAAACAAGCATCATGATAGTTGATCCCCACCGACCCTACTCCTTATCAGCCTCTCAATGAATTATCTTTGCGTTGGGATCAGGCGGGACCCAAATAGCTACCCCAACTGAGCCGCTTTTTGGAGTTGGGGTGCTAACCTTATTGAACGGCCAAACGATGTTATGGGACCTAGTGTGTGCAAAGGAATTTGTAAGATGTGTTCCCTATATATAAATAATATCAGACCATGTTCTTTCCCCAACCCCTTTCAATTGTTCCAGTATAGCCTTTCTCTTTTTCGCATCCGACGTGGCTAACCCATTGACATTAAATAATCGAAGATCCAAATCTGTTGTTTTGGCTGCACAGTGCCAAGATGGATTTTTACCATAATATGCTTGTAGAACCTCCATCTTAAACCACCAGCACTTGGCCCAGCTATCGGCCGCGGCACTTTCCCGTTAACACGCCACGCCTTTAGGGCTTCGGGGTACCGGACCACAATGGCTGGAAGCGCCAGCCAAAATTTTTTCAAAACGGTACCCCGGCGATTCAGCGAAAATCGGCGAGCAGGGGCATTCCAGGCTCGGCATCGATAGTTGGGCCAAGTACTGGTGGTTTAACGAAAATATTATAAAGGAACCTTCTTCCCCATGATGCCTTAGTGGCGGATCCAGTTACCATTGTCCAAGTCCGAGGTTGATTGCAAGATTCCTCTACGAAGAATGATACTGAGAAAAGAAACCACGTCTGAGACAGACCATACAACATTGGCTTTAATTTTAAGGCGGAAAACCATCTCAGACCCGCCGCTTTTTGTTCTTTCAAAGCGAACAAACGTGTCCCTTTTTGCCCTACGAGCCTTGTCTCCTTTTTTTTTCTGTGAAAGTTGCTTGGGGACCAGGATCATAGTGCTTTGCCAAGAAATCATGCATATCGCGTTTGAAAGTGCGATCCATTACGCTTTCATATTCAACATATGTTGCCCATCCCCTCAATGCGACTCCTCCATATTGGTCTTGACCAATTGGTCAGACACCCACCTCCCATATACCTCCTTTTTTCCTCACCGGGACAATCAGATTGCCCTGAGGCGACTGTGATCTACCTGCGTGACCCTTTTTTAACACGTGCCTCTTTTTTTTTCGTTTACCTGTCTCCTGCATCACTGGTGTAAGGAAGGAGACCAACCCTTCCTGTTGGGCTGGATGATGCGAGGGAATAGATTGGTGATGCAGTAGTTGTCTTTGCTCATTTTTTCTGCATCTCGTTCGACAAATGAAATGTCCTCTGACGGTTCGACAGGGGAGAGGTCAAGAGCAGATTTGGATTTAGGGGAGGATTAGCAGCCAGATGGATCTGAGACGCCGATGATTGGACACAGGTCGATGTCTAAGGTAACTGCATTCCTCTTTGATCCTGCACGGTTGGAGACTGACCGAATAGACCTTCCTGTTGTCGTAGCAGAGTTTGCTATATCCACATTTCCTGTTGAGAATCTGACTCTCACATATGTGTCTGGGGGGTCATATCTTGATCTTCCTCCATAGAGATGAGCTGAGAATGCAACAATTGTTGCTGCGCTGATTGATGAAGCAATGCTAAATTTACGTTCGACACCTGCTCATCCTGCTAATGTTGCAACGGTTGTTGGTCCCTCAAACCATCCCGAATCTCATTGTGTTGTCCCAGCGCCTCCATCTCACTGTTTTCTTGGAAGGGAGGTTGTTGAACAACCTGACCATCAATACCCACATAGATTATATGGCCCTGTGTCTCCCCCTTGTTGTTTGTCGGGGAAGGGGACTGTTGAGGCAAATCTTCCCCTACCGATTGGATACCCGGGACTTCTCCCCCTTGACGCAAATCCAAGGTTCCTTGGGTTGGAGGGACTTTACCACCAACATTCATCGCTAGCAGTGCAACTGTCATTTCCCATTTCCTCCCTACCACCTTACATTCCTCAGGTGATAGAGACGGTGGTTAAAACATGACCATTACCGCATTAAACATGAGTTGACTGGCCACAGTCCATTTAACACCTGGAGGGAGCCCATTGGTGAACAACCTTTTCAATGACGGGCTAGCATTCATCCAGTTAACGAGTTGCACATAAGTGGTGTCCCAGAATTCAACCGGGGCTACTCCATACTTCAAAAGTTGGCATTTTTAGAGGCCCAGTAGCAGTAGGCTAGGTCTAGGCCGCTACCAGTCCATCCAGTTGAGCCTAGAGCCTGTACGGGCAATATCAGAGTCTGCAATGATGTTTCCCTCCGAAAGGGAGGAGGTATCGGTTGCTTGGGAGGCCGAGCGGTCTGGAAGTCACCGCCCAGGAGGCAAGCAGGCCGAGATATCAAGAGGCCGAGGAAAGAGCTCGGCCTCATTCTTCAATGTACGAGTTGGGCGTCACGCTGTTGGAGCGCTGGTTGGAAGAGCTCTGGCTGCTACAGCGTTGCTGGGAGGAAGAAGCCGGGAGTTTGCACCTTGGCTACGGTGGAGCTCTACCGGTAGGAGGAGGGAGAAGGGGACCAAGGGGGAGAGTGGTGAGGTACTTACCTGGCTATGGTGGACACCATCTTCATCGCCTCGTTAGGTGCTGCATCTGGAAGGCCCCAGTTGGGGTAGTGCCGCATCAAGGAAGCTCGGGGTAGAGTCAGACATGGCGGTTCAGTGAGCAGCGACATAGTTGCTTTGCGTTATCCTTTGCACACGCGGCAACGACATAGCTGCTTTGCGTTGTCCTTTGCACAAGAGGGTGAAGCCCTCAGTAGTCCGCCATAGCCTCGGCCTACAATGAAGAGGAAGGAGAGGGGTGGCCATGGCTATGGTGGACCTCATGTTGTGCCTGCAGTAGAAGTGGGATTCGAACATTGATTCTGGTTCAGCCATTCAACATTATTATTGTTATTTCTTGTTTGAATAAGAGTGGAGGAGATAAGGAGGAGGAGATTGGTTTCCGAAGAAGAAGAGCCTTGTCATTGGTCTATGCTGGAGTACATCATCTTCTTCTTCTTTCTTACTTCTTCTTCTTCTTCTTTCCCTCTCTCTCCTCTCAAGTTCATTCATTTCTTTTTGCAATTGGATGCATTGTACTTTCTGATGAATGTATACCTTGAAATTGGCCAGGATCGTAACATTGGTATCGGAGCGGATTCTACTTGCTGGCGAGAGTTGACTTTGCCGCCATAACCCTAACCCTGGTGGTAAGGGCTAACCACTTACGGTTAGGGCAGAAGTTAGGGTTACGTGGGGTAGCGTGGTAAGGGGAAGCTGCTCCCACCTGGCAGGGCCTTGTCGGGTCGACATTAGACCCGGCCAGGTCGCTTGAGTGCATGCTTGTGGTGGTGAGATACAAGGTGGGACTTCGTGATGCAATTTGAGAGAGGCGACAGTGAAGGGAACCTACAACTTGAATCTGGACTTCAAGGAAGACGAGGAATGACTTTAGGGCTCCCCTCGAGTTAGGCGAGCTTGAGGGTGGCAGCCATATCTGCACCTACGGACTGCAAGTTGTTGCTTTGATCTTCAACATCGACGGGGGATCCGGCGTTGTACTTTGGGGTAGATGTTGACCCTCCTAGATGATAGGACACGAGTGTAAAGGATGCTAATTGGATCAGGTGGACTATGTGAGAGGGGGGTGAGTTTCTTTCACCTCAAGAACCCGACCACTCAGGAAAGTGTCGTGTCGTCGGGGTGCCCATGTGTGTGTGCATGGAATCGAGTGCATGTTGGGGTATTCTGGGTTCTTCTTCCATCCTCCATAGTCTTAATCTTGTGTGAGGTGTGTGAACTTCTTAATCACCTGACGAGTGAATGAATGGAGTATCTTGCGTGCCATGCTATATCCTTCTACAGTGCTTTGTTTGTTTCATTCTGAACGGCTGTAGTCTGTAGGTTCTTTTTGGGGCTAAATTTCGTTTTTCAATTGAGTAGGGGCAGAGAGGTCTTTGTGGAACTCTTGTTGGTTGGGACCCGAGTTTGACTCCACAGGGACCATTTGGGACTCAGTGGGACTGGGCCCAAACAGGAAGGGCCCCTCAAGCCCAAATCTGTTGACGACAGTTACCTTGCTCTATCTGATTGGGACTCGGAGTTCATGTTTTCGGACCAGGACACTCGCTGCTGAGGGGATCTCAGCTGAGACGTTTTATCAGACTTTACCGCACGATCCGCCGCCTGACTCGCACCTTGGACACGTAGTACACTTTGAATTTGATTTGTTGTGTCTTCACGGAGCTGAGTCCGACTAGGCTTGAGAGGACCTCATACGTAGTCGGACCAGACTGTGTGGCGGAATCAGATCTCTTTTATCTTTATTTTTTGTTTTGACTTCTCTCTAGTCCAAATGAATTGCCGCTCCGGCTAGGAGTTCTACCTTTTCTTCTAATTGTTTTCAAGACTGTTTCTTTCATTGGGTTCATTAAATGCCTGCGTCTACACGATCACAAACAAGATAGACAGAGAGAGAGAGAGAAAACAAAAGCTTCTAGTGTTGCTCTTGAGAGGGTGAGGAGAGGGAAGAGGAGTGTTCGTCCCAAAAGTGCGAGGAAGTACAAACCTCTCTTGAGAGACTTATTGACACCCTCGTCCTCCATCATGGCATCTGCAACAGAACGGAAGCTTCCCCTGAGGCAGAGAAAGCGCAGTACCAGTTCTTTTATGAAAAAACATTGAAGAGGAAAGAGGACGAGAAGGAGAAGGAGTGGGGAGACAAAGTGAAGGTTCATGAAGCCGTCTTCAGTACCGTGCCCGCCTTAACTGATGATGAGGTGGAAGAGAAGATTGTCCCACTCCTCAGGGCTTTAGTAGAGGTCCGGGCTGTTGAAGACTATACAGGCCAACTCGCCAAGGTGTTTGATGAACTCAAGAAGTTGCGCGAGGATATGGCCCTGATGGCGCAGCAACACCGTGACCAGCTGCAACAGTTTGCTAGCTTGCAGTCGGCCCAAAGTGTCCTTCCGCCTGCTTACCCTGCTTCTATGGTTGCGTGTCAGTCCATTCTTGCCCCTCTAACCATATCTTATTTTTTTTTTTCTTCTTCTTCTTCTTCTTTGAGTGTGACCAACAGCCTATCCAGATCTGCGGCAGGTCCAGACACCGTTGTTGCTGCTGCTACAGCAGCAAGTGGCAGTGCAGGGTATTCTGGAACTGTTGCAGCCCCGAATTCGGACCCAGCGATCACTGGTCCTAGCTGCAGCTTTCCCTACGTGGACAAGAAGGCGGCACAGATTCCATCTAGGTATGACGGAAAGGACGACATTGAATCTTGCATCAGCTCTATGCGATCCTACTTTGATGTGCTGGGGACATCCCCGGTTACTCGGTCGTCGGTCCCTAGGACCCAATGTGGAACTCGCCGTAAGGGGCTTCTTAGAAGTCCAAGTTGTACAGTCAGGCTTTAAAAGAATAGACCCGAACAAATGGCTGAAGGCTACGCCTATAGCCGCACTCGAGGAACTCTTGATCAAACAATATGTTGATCCACATGCTACAGCCAAAGCTAGACTTAAGCTTGACAAGCTCAAGCACAACAAGTGAACCAACACCATGCATAGTCTGCAGCAGTACGTTAGAAAATTCTTACTCCGGATCTGGAGATGATTGCGAAGTCTTGCTTGGATGTGATAAAAGGTACGGTCCCCTCTACTGTGACACATCGCCTGGGGCTCGGACTCATAACGTATACAGATTGGCTTACCCTCATGCGGGATTTAGTCAAGCTGGAGGCACAAGACCTCCCCGGTGGATCGGGTGGCAAAACGACCACCGGCTGCAAACGATTTCCAGGCAGCAACCGTTTTGCCAGCGCACGATCTACATGAGGTTGACGAGGAGACCTTCGCAGAAGACCCTTCTCTTGACGAGTCGATGATGACGATCAAGAGCAAGACTGCGAGGCATCTTGCTCTTCGTTGTCTATGCTGGAGTACATCATCTTCTTCTTCTTTCTTACTTCTTCTTCTTCTTCTTTCCCTCTCTCTCCTCTCAAGTTCATTCATTTCTTTTTGCAATTGGACAACATTGTACTTTCTGATGAATGTATACTTCGAAATTGGCCAGGATCGTAACATCTGTCTGCTCCGAATCAATATCCATAGGAGCAGGCCCAAACGCTTCTTGAAAAGGGTCCTGCTGGGAATCCCCCTATCGTTTTTGAGTCTGTCTCGCTGTCTGAGCAGCATCTCCTGAAAGATTTCCCCGCTGCTCTTCTTTATTGACTGTTGCGGACCCTTCCCTAGGTTTCCATGTTTGTTTGTGGTGAGGACCTCCTCTAATTATTACTATTATTATTATTATTATTATTGTCTCCTTCTGATGATGATTAGTGGAAGGTCCTGTGAGGGACCCTGTTCACTGTCCAGTTCTTGTTCCATTACAACGTCATGATCCCAGTCCTGCACATCTTTTGAGGACGCAGTTAGCTGAGATGCAGAATCTTTTACTCCTACTGCATTTCCCATACCTTTCAGCCTTTCAGGTACGGATCTGGTTCACGTAGACCATTTGTTGCTATCCCTTCTTGACCCGATCCTGAAGGTGTAGCTTTACCTGGCTTGGGCACTGGGCCTAGAGTAATAAAAAGTGACCTCTTTTTTTGGAAAAAAAAAAGAGGGAATGATTAGCTGTGGAAAAAAAGAAAGGTATTATCATCGATCTAACCAGCCCTCCTCAATGCCAGTCTGTCACACAGATATTTCCTCATCACAAAAAGTGACATTCCACTGATAAATGCTCCCAAGTAGTATAACAGTTGCCTAATGAACTGCGCCTGGTTCTTGCTGGCCAATCAATCTGAGTGTAAAATCTGCGGTGTGAGAAGTGGGAATGGTTCAACAGAGACGCAAACGGGGAGAGTGAATCTAGGGCCACTTCCTCCCTTTTAATGTGCATAGATCACTGACCTACTGTCTTCTCCCGAATACAACGTACAGTCATTATTGCTGTATATAGACTCAAAGTTTCCCCAAATACAGCTATATTAACTGTATGTTGTATTCAGGTGAAGGCAGTAGGCTGGTTTGTTTAACTTTTCTTTGTTCTCCTCTTTAAGAATAACTTTTGTTTGTTCTCCTCTTTAAGAAATGACAAGCAGTAGCAATCACTGTGGGTCAAGTCATTGGCCTCTACAACACCCTGGGCTTCAAAAAAAAAAAAAAAAAAACAAGACAAGTAGTTTAGGATAGCCAGATAAGCATTCAAATACAGAAGTAAATTAGTACAGGCTAACTTAGGCAGGGGTGCGGGAGGGTACATCCTTCCTGGAGGAAGTAATCAATGCCGTCTGTCGGGCCTTCCCACCATAAGTGGGAGGAGCGTGTGTAAGTACTCTTTGTAATCCCTCCTGACTTGCCTCCCCAGAATGGAAGATGAGCCAGAACCATAAGGTTCTGCTACTAAAATTTCACAGGCTCCAGGCTACCGGATCACAATGGCTGGCGGCATCAGCCAAAACAGGAAAAAAAAAAGTGCTGCTGGCGGTTCGTCAAAGCTTGGCGCACAGTGCCGCACCGCTAGGCCCAGGTGTACTGGTGGTTTTAAGGATTGAGGGGAAGGGATGTACACATCGTAACGAGGTGTGACTTTCGAATAGTTGGGAGTGGAGTGGCTGGGACGGGTTTGCTAGTTCAAACTTCAAACAGTAAGCAATCCGCCTGGGAGCAATTGAAGGGCTGAGTGGATTGGCTGTAGGGTCAAGTGTACTCGTGACTCGTGGCATCACCACGTGGCGATCCACAAGTTGGGGAGGATAATTGAGGGTGGTGTAACTGATGCGTGGCGGCAGTGGTTGATTGTTTGCTGTTTATTTTTCTGTTTATTGTTTTCGTTGAGATATTAGTTTGGCGGGAACTCCAGGGAGTAAGCAATCCGATCGTTGCCCATCAGACTGACTAGAGTTCTTTGTTTCGTTTCCGTTCAAGGGTTGGGCTGGGTGCATAACCCTTCTTACCGTTCTTAAGATGATGCAGCCTGGTAATTCTATGAAATTGGCATGGAATTACCAGGCTGCATCATCTTAAAAAGGGTTATGTACGGGGCTAGGGGAGGAAACAGGGGGTCGTGAGTAGTGGCATCGCCGAGGGACGATTTAAGGGTTCAAGGGTGGATTGTGAAGGAAGCGAGCGAAATATTGCATGGTGACAGTTTTCAACTGTGGCGTGGCAGGAAGGGCTGGGTGCAACTGCCAGGCATCCCAGTGAATTGTGGCATCGCTGTGTGGCGGTCTAAGGGCCAGCGGCGATTGGAAAAGAGGGCAAAGTGGGGTGTACAGTAACAGCGGTTGATACGGACTTCGTAGAAGGCCAGCGCAAAACTCTGGGAGAAATTCTCCAGACATTGATTTCGTTTGTTTTTTTTTTGGGAAAAGGCTGGTTGACATCTTGTAAAGGACACTGGACCTGGTTTTCACCAATGGGGATTTAGAAGACAGCCCCAAACCTGGGCTGCCCTGCCTAAGAGGTCGGGCTTTCCGGATCATTACAACTCCGATGGACATATGCATCTGGCTGAAACGTTGCGCTAAATTCGGTTTTGTGGGCAAACATTTCTCTAATCTGCTTAATATTTTGTTTTCCCTGATTGAGCCTCGTATAGCAGAACCTACCTTACAACCTTGATTCCTTTCGGATTTTTTCATCAACAGGATGATAATTCAAACCTACCAAAGCTGGGGGGCTGGTAACCAGGTTCCGACATCCAGACTTCCAGCACTCATAATTTTGTCAACCCCTGCGGTACCCCTCTTGGGTCCGGTAGACCGAGCCCGTGTGCAACCTCCTTCTATATGGCCGCAAGTTTCGGTACGAGGATGCTGGTCGTGGTGATCTAAACCACAAGTCCCTCCAAGCCTCTTTTTCCCTGTGTGCATTTTTACCCGCCCCTCACACTCTGAAACATCGTGGAGACAAGGCCTGGGATCAATTAGAAACTAAAGCTAAATGGCCTTGGGGATGGAATTTCATGGAAAGCAATTCTGCTTGAACACTGGTCTTCAGAAACAGAGGACAAATTCACACAAAACCTTTTTATCCTAGGCAGAAGAGCGGTACTCTGAGCCATCTGGCAGAGAAGAAACACCTATGAATGGGAGGGAGCCAGATTAGATGGCCCAGAATTCACTGATAGCATAAAACAGAAAATTCAAACACATATACAAGATCAATGGATCAATCTTAAAGAAAAAATTCAGTTTAACTCATCCAAAACAGAAATCACTGAAATATTCCAAAAATTCAGCAGCAACTGGCTGGGAAGGGGGGGGGGGGAGGTGGAAGGATAGGAAAAGTGGAATGGGAGGGAGCTGAGATAGAGGAGGAACAAGAGTTTACCAGAAACTACAAGTTAACGTTCAATGAATGAACCATGGTGGACCCAACAATACCCCTCTGTCCTGTTCAAGAGTTGCCTTGTCTTTTCCCTTTACCCCAGAATGCAATTGTCCCACTGTCATGGTATGGAAGGGATACCCTTGAAGAAGAAGGGGTAGTGGAAGGTTAATCACACATTCGAGGTCATCATTCTCAGTAAAATGTTGTAGGGGCTAGTTAGGAAATGCCACTGCTGGCGCCCCAATTCGGGTGATGAGGCCTAAGTTCAACAAGGGAGAACAAGGACCAAGTCCATACTTGGCGCCTTTTAGTAGGACGATGTGGCATCTAGAACAGTCGACATTGCAGTCACGGACAGCCTGCTCAGATGCTGCTCTTACTCAAGAATTCCAATATTCTCAATGTTTAGGGGCGCTGGACCCGTTTTCCAGCAGGTGCTGCTCCCCACCAATAGATGGAGTGTCCCAGCGAATGCTAGGGTGGCCTGCTCTTATCAGCTCCCCTAGAATCAACCCAGGCTGTTTCAAAAAAAAAAAAAAAGAAAAAAAAAAAAGGCCTGCCATAGGCTGCCAGGCATTCCCGGCGTGTTTTTCCCCCTCAATTTCCTTGCTCAGGGGCCATGCTAATCTTCTTTGTACCGGGACATTCATTAAGACTGGAATGATCGCCTGCCGTTTTGGACCAGAAGGCCGAGTCTTTCCATGGGCCTGTGTTCATCGGCTGGCATGCACAGGATAGCTGGGATCAGCACAGGTGCTACTCGCCTCATTACTTTTTCAGGTAGACTTATGGGGTCCCTGGCCATGTTCAAACTTCAAAGTTGAAATAAGTGAACTTGAAACCACCAGTACTTCCTAAAGTTGTGCCCGTTAACAAGACACAATTTTAGGAAACATATGGGCCACTACAGAAACATTTCCACTCTATTTTTCTCCACGGCCTATAGCTGGGCCAAGTACTGGTGGTTTGAACCCAGCACCTACTGGCTG